AGGGTGTTTGATTTTATTTTGGAATGAAGATGTTTAATCTTTATCCAAGGGTGATTCACTTTAAGTTGTTTGTGACTTAAAGATTTTATTTGAGTTTTAAGTGTTTCATATTTAGGAGGGTTATGAAGAACCCATAAAGTAACCACATGCTTGCTTTTGGGCAAGCCTGTTACTTATGAATCCTAAGATACAATAGTGTAGGCATCCCGCCTTTTGTGGGAGATGATTTATCATTGTATCAAAAGGGAACCTAAGTAATTTTTAGGTGTTTTTAGAGTTCTCTTAGTGTTTGGATAAGAGAAATATCTATCTAATATGGTAAGATAGACTTGCCTAATGGGTTTCACTTAGAACTTCGTGAAATCCATCCAATAGGGTAGGATGAACTTCAACAGATTGGATAATTCCTAAGGGACATCTATGGGTTTAGCATTTTAAATGTCATAGGGAAGATCATTCAATTTTGGGTTGAATGGAGGAGGTTACTTAGATTTTGAGTCTAAGAAGGGTGTCCAACATGTAGCTTTTGGGCTACATGTTGGAGAAATCTCCTTAGCTTTTGGAGCTAAGAGGAAAAAAACAGAGATCCAACATTTAGTTTTGGGCTAAATTTAGGAGAACTCTCTTTAGCTTTTGGAGCTAAAGAGAAAAGAGATCTCCAACAACTTTGGAATTGAAGTAGAGAAAACATATAGCTTTAGAGCTAAGGTATTACATCTTTTAAGGCTTTTGGAACCTATAAAAGTGAATGGAGATTAGTAGCTTTGAGGCTACAAATCAAAAAGAGTGATCGGCGTCGCGGGTCCAGCTGTCGGTGAGACACCCCGGCGGTGATTTTGTATTTTTTCCTCTCACGCGCAACCTAAAGCGTGTGCTTGGGGTTTTAAAAAAAAAGCAATTTTTTAAGCATTCTTGATTTCCCCCCGCCGGGTACTTATATGCTGACCCCTCTCGCCGTAGGCTGCCGCACCGGAGTTCCCATCCCACCACGCGCTCTAAAGACGTGCGTTGGGCGGTTTTTCCGTTCGCCTACGAACATTGAAGTAGAGTGATTTAGGTGATTACCCGCCTCGTCGAGGCGCCGACCGGGGTCCATCCCACCATTGCTCACTAAGCGTGCTTGGGGCGGTTTTTCGGTCCGCCGCCAACTCAGGATAGGACGAGAATCTTGGTTAGTAAATCCGGTACCTTCGTGGGTTTGGATGTTGACGGCGAAGTGGCAAGAGAAATATACAAACAAAT